AAACAATTTTTTTTTTTTNATAAACATTATAATTACTCATTTTTTTTAAGCAAAATCTTAGTAATGTATCAATATTTAATTATTAAACAATTTTTAGTTTTTTTCTTTTTTTATTCATCGCCAAAGTTATTATACCGTTTTAATTATTTATAAAACTATTTTTTATCCCTAGAGGATGTTCAATTAAAACGAATAATTATCATATTTGATTAAACGTTATCAAAAATCAATATATTTTAATTGAAATATTTGGGTTAATTGAGAATTATTTGCAGTAGCTTTTGAAACGGTAACACAATTTTACGAGTTATATGCAAAAGCTAAGTGACAAAAATGAGTTTTTATTATTGCTATTAAAAATTTAAGAAAAAAATTTAAAATAATTAGCCATCGAATATAATAATTTATATTTATTGTCAAAAACATTTCTGACAGATCATTGTGTAGCACCTTAACGTATACAAAACAATAGAAATTTTCAAGAGAGTTTCAAATAGATACTCGAACGCTGTTACATAAATTTTATGTCTGGAAAAAAAAAACATATAAAATCTAACACACAACTGATACGTTAGTCATTCGTGTTATTTTGGCATAATGTAATGTTATGACGGATACGAACGAGGTAAAATCATACGAGTGGTGGCCCTGCGGCGAAATGGCTGGATACATTATGTTTAAATATTTTATTACACTTTCTGGGATCGCCGGGTATGCTTCAAACCGACATCGTCACGCACCAATAGAATAATGGGAATTTTTAGTGTATACAATATTATCATCGAGCGAGAAACTAAGACAATAAACTTTGTTCGTTTTTATACGGATCGATTGGCAAGGAAATATGTGCTAAAAAAAAATAAATAAATAACTGCTCGTGTCACTTGTAGCGGGCATCCTCGACAAGTCACGCAGTGTAGTCTTGACGGAAGACAAACTTTCATATACCACAGGTAAAGTTTTTATTTGGTAAAAAAACACCGTCGACCAAAGCAAAGAGTACACGTTATTTAAAAGCCAATGGAAATCTATTCGCTAAAACGACCGATGATATTTACACTCGACAACTCGACTCGACAACACAACAGTACACACACGANCGATTCAACTACAGAACAGTACACACACGAGAATAGTGTGGTTTTCCTGTTGTTTGTGTGGCTTTAGGACATGTCATTGTTTGTTTTTTTTTAATCGTGTTATCACTGGCCAGTGAAATTATGGTAGTGACGAACAAATACCCCAAGCGATTGCTTAACAGGACGCTTAATTAAAAACGAACATTGGACAGTATGGTGACACGGGTAAGAACGGTGTAATTAAGTTAATTAAAAATATCCAATGCCAAGGGCCTCGCGTGGACGTGGCTCTAATGTACCCAGTTCAAAAATATATTATTATTTAATTTGTATTGCTTCTAAAAGTGTCGTCGTACGATCTGTCCCTTAATCATATTTTAGATAATTACTAGTATCTAGTGTATCTAGTGTCTAGTCTCTAGCTATATACTAAAATCCAGCCCCTCATTATAGCTTCACCTGGAACAGATTTTACGTTTTTTCTGCTTTAAAATTCCGATTTATTTTTATTGCGGTCTCCACACAATCTCATATCCGCTATGTTGTATTTCTTTCTGCTAATAAGTAATTTCGTTAGGGAGTTCCATAAATTCTTTGAATTACATGAATTTGATTATAGTAATGATTCCTAAGGGAAGGCGTACTTTTAATATACAGAAATTTACTGAACAGGATCTTTATTTGCGGTATGCTGTGTATACAGTTATGCACGTAAAAATTCTGCTATCATTTTTGGTTTCGAACACTGGTCAAGTGCCTCAATATCTTAACTCTTACTCACAAATATTTTGTTCAAAATCTATTTATGAAACGGGGAAATGTGTTCAATGAATGCTATGGGACATTAGCCACTGAGAAATGTCAATCAAACACCTCAAGTTTAGATTAATTTCAAACAATACGACAAAATGTAAAAACTATAATCGTCGAATCCTAATAATCATAGACAGTAATATTTATTTAAAAAAACATTATAAATTTTGTAATTTTGATTATAAGTAATGTTTCAATAAATAAACCATTACGTTATGATACTAAATGAAGTTCAGAAATATTGTTCGACTTAATACGTTATCAAAATCGTTTTTAGTTAAAATATAGTTGCAAGCACAACTCGTCTAGATTTAGCGGAATAAATATGATTAGAAGTGTTCTTTTGTAGGTATCCGATAAAGACGTTAGGCGCATGTAATCTATACCCGCATTTTATTTCAAAATTTGACTAAACACACGTTATATTATTATTGTCGTTAATATATTATTCTAGGTCGTTTCGCGTGTGCGCGTTGCGGTACAACGTACAGTAATGTAAGTAGCGTACGTATTTATTTAAACCCGAACGATACGTTTAAATAATTAACAAATAGTAGTGTAATATATTTCACTTTCAGATTTGAATAACAAAAAATATTATGGCTGTAACCAAGGTAGGCCAGTTAATTAGCCGTAGCAAAGCAAAAAAAAAACTGCTTTGGTTCAACTATGCATTGATCATAATACTTGTTACTTATTTCATGTATATATCTTGGTGCGGTAATAATATAAAATATTAACATAGGTACGTCTATTGATTATATTGTTTATTTTCTATTGATTTTATTGATGTAATAATGTATGTAACAAAGCTATTGGTGTTGTACTCATTACTTTAATTCTCGTATATAAAAGGATAGAGCAATCCGAGTATAAAACATATATAAAAACAATTATTGTGATGTTTACATGCAGAATAATTAAACAATAATAATATCGCAGACGAAAATATGTTGTAANCAAAGCGACGCAGTTTAAGGTGCACGACACCGTGCGATTTGAGATGCATGTCCATTGTGTACTAAATAATAGTAACAGTGATAATGATATCGCGTTTCGTGTGAATAATTGAACGCCAACCTTCGATGGCATTCTGAAAATTACTCGGGTACACAGAATAATGTTGTTATGAGGTCGACTGTCGCGTTTCCCTCACGATTTACTCATCACTCTCTATTCGATAGAGGTCACGATTTACATGCTGCATTTAGTTTTTGTTATAACTGATCTGAGGTTGGGTGTCTAAACTTTCATGACGGCTAAAAGCCCATGAACTTATTATAGCCTTAACATAAGACTACGTTAATTATTAAACTAACATTTGATTAAATAAAATGTTAGTTAGAAAAAATAAATATTCACCAGTTGATAAATAGTCGATCAGTATAAACTGTAAAATAGCCAACATTTTATCATTAACTTGTATCAAATTAATGCGATCCGCTTAAATTCTTTGAAAGTCGATTTTTNTCGATCCGCTTAAATTCTCTGAAAGTCGATTTTTCCCCATCCGAAAATCTGGCAATTAAAATTTGCTACGAACTTGTACATGTTAGTATCAATTAAATTGACAGCATCGCTTTTGAATGTCAAACTAATGTGAATTTAAACCAAAAAACTGCCATGAAAAATATTAATTGAAAAGAGAAATTGTGAGTTTTAAAGAGAGTGCATTTCATCAAAGTTTAAATTATTTAAGTGTTTTTCATCTGACATAAAAAACGCTTCAAATGAATTTTTTCTAAAAACACATCTTCAAATTATACTAAATTAAAAATATATTAATATGCTGTGGAATCTTATAGTAAAAACCTCACGATGTTTTAAAAAGTAAAACTTAAAAATTCAAACGATAACTGTACTTTTAAAGACTAAAGTACTTTTAAGATGATTTAAAGGAATTTCATAGTATCTCGAGTATTTTTGTTAAACTTATTTCTTTGTGAAATCCGGGAAATTATTTTTATTGTACATTTTATATTAAAAGAGTGTTAACTTTTGATTAAATATTAAAAAAAAAAAAATTCTTCAAATGTTTTCTGAAGTATTTTCTGATGCGTACAACGTGTGCTTCAAAAACATTAACAAAAGTATGAAAGAATATAAATAAAACTTGTGGTGTAAATCGCGTTCGTTTAGAAGATTACTAGTTCTCCGGTCGTCAGGGCGCCGTTACTGGACACCGCGTTGTGGTACAAAAGCCACCTGTTGGGGGCCTTTGATGATTCAAAATATAATAGCTTAGCTTCACTATGCAACAATGGTCCGCCAGTATTTACCTTTCACTCTTCTTTTATTTATTATTATTCTCTTTTTTTTTTTTTTGTTTCATTATACGCCATCCCGACGCCAAATGGGTGACCAAAGAGCAATAAATCAAGAAGGCGACTACCTTTTCCCTCAAAAACATTCATGTATTAAGCTTTTAGACATTTTTTATAATTTCTTCTGTGCATAAAACTCATATACGAATTTTGACTTTATATTAATTATCATCAGTAAATGCATATCAGTGTTAATTTTATTATAATAATACTATATTTATGAGTATGGTGTACTTGTTAATAAATATATTGTTTGCATTCGTAATTTTGGCTCCCTTAAAAAATAGTACAGATTTTTACATAATTAACAATAAATCTCCATTAAAACTAATATGTATCAAATTAAGTAACATTCGAGTATGCATTTCAAATTTGATCAATTTTTTAGGACTATCATATGCTGCAAGAAACTAGTGAAATAAAACTAGGTTTGATTTTTACAGTAATCTTTAAAAAACAGTAGACAGATTTGTTTCGGGACTTACTATGACGTCTCTTGGGTAATTTTATCCATAGATCTGTATTGATAGGGTAAAATTCTATTAGTATGTTAGGATAGTGTCAAAGGCTAATGGAACAGTTAACGACAGAGACGTTCACGCATCCATAACTAGGTAAATTGATATTCATTGCTTTGGAGAATTATTAGCGTTCATCCGGATTACAAAACAGTAATTTTACACTGTATATATATATATATATTACACTAGTGTTGATAATTAAGTGGGTTATTTAAAAGAACATGTTTATAATTTAACTCATTATTTTTATTTTTAATTTTCAGGTGCAAAAAACCTGGAAGGTATTTAGACAACTTGCCTCAAACTTCAGTTATCGTGTGTTTCCACAACGAAGCGTGGTCCGTTTTATTGCGTACAGTTCACTCTGTTTTGGACAGATCACCGGAGCACTTAATCAGAGAAATCATTCTAGTTGACGACTTTTCCGATATGCGTAAGTACTTCATTATTAACGTAAATGATTTTGTTCCTCTAACATTTATATCCATGACAATGATTGATATATCATGCGATGTTAATTAACCCCGGAAGCTTACAAATGGTATGCGTAAAATTAGCTGTGGCATTTGAAAAATATATTTTTAATAAAACGCGGCCATAGCTCGGCACATAGCAGTGCGACATTGTTTCGAATTATAGTTAAAAATTACATTACAGCGATAGTGAATCAGCAATAATGTTAGCCCTGGAGGAAAATAATTTATTTTTGAGCTAGAATATATGTAATAATATTTACAGTATGGGTTTATTACAAATCAAAAAACTTTTAATCCATCGAATATTTCTTTTTTAATCATTTTTACAATTTTGAACTACGTTAAAAGTATATTTTATAATATTGTCTCTAAAAAGAAAACTTTTATTTTTTCAAAAGTTCAAAGCAACCATATTTAGCCCTTTTTTACCAACACATTTAATGGGTCGATAACGACTTCAGGATAAGTATTGATCAAGTTAGAAGCGTTTTAATACATATTTAATTACTTTTTAAAATTATTCCTTATAACTTACAGAGGTTTCAACTTAATTTTTTTAAATATCCACATTTGACTAGCTTAGAAAATAGGAAATGATCTAATTGAGATAAAAATGAATCGACAACAACTTTTAGAATAGTACTTCGAAAATTTTTAATATTTTTACACGTTGACGGGAAGAAAAGTGTGGCTGAGAAATGTTTAATGATATAAATAGTCATATTAACGTATTTCCTCTAGCCTGTATTTGAAAATCATTATAACTTATGAAGTACTCATTCAAAAGTTATTACCGATTCGTCATTTCTTAAATAGCGATTTCCTATTACTTAATCTAGTTAAATATGTTTGTTTATACGTAAAAAAATTAAGTCCTGTTTTTTTTTTTGTAGAATATAGATATTATAATATTGGGTAAACTAAACACTACAAATCTAATGTAATTTAACGTGTATGATTTTATTCAATATAAATTTTCCTGGCCGTATTTTGTGAAGACGTCTCAATTCACTTTGCGTAAATTCCATCATAGCATAGATTGTATTAGTATTATTGAATTATTAGTATTATAATTCTGACGAACACGATTACTGGGTAATGTTGACTTCGCGCAAATTTGTTTCATATTACGTGGTTTACATTAAGAAGTAAGTTTTGATCTTTAGGCACGCAACATAAATCTGGAGATGATTTTGTACCTCAGCTTCTGGGTTCAAAGGGGCCCTGCTGTTTAGCATTATAAATCAACTTAAACCGGTTTGTGGTAGCCCAATTTCAAAGTAATTCTACATTTTCATTATCGACCGTGCCTCCCTTTTTCGTGCTATGAGAGGTATCCGTATTGGTAAATAAACGATATTACGCCGGCTTTAGATTTTTCTTATATTTATTGTACTTTAATTTTTCGGATCTCTTGAAAGGCATGATAGTCAAAGGGATCAAGGGCTGTTTTTACAGCCCTTTTTTAACCCAAGAAAAGTGTGTGAACGTTTGGCCTGGTTTACAC